TCCAGTTTATCAGGTAGTTAACTTGAGGATGCTCTTTGTTCAATGTGAGCTAAAACTGGGAGGCAAACAGAGGTACAGTACCTAGAATCTAATTAACAGTGTACATCTTCAGATTACTCCTCTAACATGAGCGCTCAACCACATCGTGCCATTGTGCTCTGCTAACTGAAATGGAGTGGTCACAGCCAGTGAAGGGTGCTGAGACCCTGTACAAGAACAGACACATCACTGCCTCATTTCCATTAAAGAGCACTGACTGTGGGTATCTCATCTGCATAGCTATTGTACGCAAATCCCAGTAACAGAGGCTGAGACACATGGGGCTCGTCTACACTGGCCCCTTTTCCGGAAGGGGCATGTAAATTTCATGAGTCGTAGTAGGGAAATGCGCGGGGGATTTAAATACCCCCCGCGGTATTTAAATAAAAATGTCCACCGCTTTTTTCCGGCTTTTAAAAAAGCCGGAAAAGAGCGTCTACACTGGCCCCGATCCTCCGGAAAAAGCGCCCTTTTCCGGAGGCTCTTATTCCTACTTTGAATAAGAATAAGAGCCTCCAGAAAAGGGCGCTTTTTCCGGAGGATCGGAGCCAGTGTAGACGCTCTTTTCCGGCTTTTTTAAAAGCCGGAAAAAAGCGGCGGACATTTTTATTTAAATACCGCGGGGGGTATTTAAATCCCCCGCGCATTTCCCTACTACGACTCATGAAATTTACATGCCCCTTCCGGAAAAGGGGCCAGTGTAGACGTAGCCATATAGTGCAAGGTTATTTCTGTATAACCTTGCAGTGATATGTCCAAGTTCCTGAACTGAGTGAGTCTTTCTAGTCATTTTTATACTGAAAAGCAAGATCACCACCTCAGCTTCTCTTCTCACTCACTTCTGCTGAAAACAGACAATGCCCACCCTGCTCAACCTATCAAAAAAAAAGGGAGGTATCAAATTACCAAGAGTGAAACAATTTTAATATTTTTCAAGGTGACTTTTTATCTTGCTTTCTTTCCTCCTTCCTCTTGCCCTATCCATAGGACAGTAGGACTCCAACTTCCTTTTTTTTTAATTTGGTTTATTCTGAGACAAACTCAATTAACCCTGAAAACATAGTTACCTCCTGGACAAGAACCTTACTGACACGTAAAGAAAGAAAGGGGACTGTAGGAGAAGGGAAGAATTAAGAGGAGGTGGAGAGAAAGAGAGATTTTAGGTTTGAGGTTTATTTAACCGATTAACTTCTCCATGTTTTGGTGGCGTATATTGTTTATTATTGCTTAAATTTCATTTAAAAATGTTTAACGCTGCAGTGAAACAGTAACATGCGAGTGCTGCCAGACAAGAATGCAGGGAACATCTACGCTGTACCGCTTTTCGAGATAACTAGCGTTATTTCAAAACAACAATGCGAGTATCTACACAGCCATTCTGTTCTTTCGAAATAATTTTGAAACAATGGATGGCTTATTCTGAAATCTATAAGCCTCATTCTACGAGGAATAATGCCTATTTCAAAATAGCTCTTTCAAAATAAGGCGCGTTCAGACGCTCCACCGCTATTTCAAAATAGCCCTTCATCAGGGCCATTCTAAGTTATTCCTTCCCAGTGCTTCCTGTGGCTCTAAATCGAGGTAGGGTGTCCATATTAGGGAAGCCTGCCTGGGACTAGTTTTGAGGCTTCCCTGCAGTAGAGATGTGCTATTTCAAAAAAAGCAATTTCGGAATAACTATTCTGGAATAGCTTATATCGAAATAAGCATGCAGCATAGACGTACCTATGGAGACCATATTCTATGTTAATAAAATCCTTTGTTGTTCTCCCATTTTTATCATATGGCCAGCCTATCACTGAGAGTCCCATGTTCACCTTGCTCCTAATTTCTTCCATATGCATTGTTTATCCACTCTCCTCTGTATATTGTTTTACTACCAGTCCCATCTCCATCAGCCCTGCCATTTCCAAACCATTCATCAAGCAGGGACACAGATGAAGCATCCAACTTTTCCTTCTGTTTGTTACTTAATTGCTGGCTCCACGATACTTCACTGTCACCCCTGCACATTCTTTTTAATTTTTAAGATCTTCCTCTGATGGCACTGAATGTACTTAAAGTACACAAATTCTTCAGATTCAGCTTTTCTCCTGACTTCAGTCAACAGTTTCAAATGGCCCAAGGTCGATGCTGTTGAGTCATTCACAAACCTTGAATCAACTCAGAGTTACTTTGTTTATCTCCGAGGAGCCTTAGCATGACTGAGGTTTGCATTTTGTTCTAATGGTAACAAATTAAAATCCAATCAGCGTACAATAGTCACTATATAGTGACACACTTCCCTCTTATTTCATTGTATTAGGCACTGAACAAACAAACAAACAAACTACAGGTTGAACATCTCTAGTCCAGGACTCCCTGGTCTGGTGACATCCATGGTCTGGCATCGTTGGGTACCACCTGGGTACTCCAGGGTTGGAGCACTCAGGAGAAAACTGGTGCAAGAGAGACTTGGGCTGGCTGGCTGGCAGCAGTGAGCAGAGCTGGAGTCTGGCAGACTCTCCAGTTTGGGACCGTCAGAGCCTGAGGATACCACATCAGGAAGGTTCTATTTGTAAATGACAGTCCATGTCTCAAGCTGCTTATAATCCCTAGTTAACTGCACATCTACCTCAAAAGCTGGTGCTGGACTGGAACCTGGCAAATCTGATATCCTTCCTCAGCACAGATCATTCCTCGAGGCTAAGGGTGGGCAAGACAGCCTCGAGGCCAGGGGTGGACCCACCACGCTGGCTGATCTGGCCCACGGCTGCCCTGCCACTCCCCGGCCCTCAGGCCAGTGGAGACCTGGGGCCAGGGTTTGCAAGAAGTCTCCTCCCCCAGCCAAGGGCTTGCAACACTAGAGGGAACTACCAGCCATTCAAAACAGCTGGCAGTTCTCTCTAGGCACTACACGCCCCGGCAAGGCAGGGGGTGAGAGACTTTGCGCACTCCTGATTTGCCTGGGGGTAGGAGGAGTGCGCAAAGTCTTCTCCCGCTGCCGGGGGTGCATCGCGCCTAGAGAGAACGGCCAGCTGTTCAAAACATCTGGTGGTTCTCTCTAGGTGCTGGAAAGCGGGGGGCAAAGACTTCATGTGCTCCTTCCACCCCCTAGGTCAATCAGGGTCTGTGGGTGGGGGAGCATGGGAAGTCTCCTGGCCTCACCCCCTCTGCCTGAGGCCCCGCCCATTCCTGGGTGCCCCAGGGCCACTTCAGAAATTTGTTAAGTAGTTCCCCTTAAAAAATTATTGCCTACCACTGCTCTAGGTCAAGAAGCTATTTGGCATCCTCTCACTTGGACCAATTTAAAATTCTACCAAAAGATTTGGTTCAATTTTAATAGGAAGAGAAAATAATTCCACAAGAGTTGGAAGTGTGTAGTAACATTTTCTGAATTTAAACCATACCAATATTGGATGAAGTTTCACCAATATTCAGAGATGTTCAAAGCAGTTTCTAGTGCTCTCTGAAGATATGATTTCAGATGTAGCTAACAATGGTTTTATTTTAGCTATAATCAATACATGGCCGTTGAAGAGTATAAAAAAGAAGTAGTGACAAAACCTATAAAGTTACCTCTGTCTGTGCTTTTGCTTCTCCAGCTTTGGCCTTTTCAAGCAGATCCTCAAAGAGTATTTCAGGTTCTTCTTTCATGACTTCTATAAAACAACCCAAAACCAAAACTGCTTTATTAGCAATACTCAATGATTTTCATGAGTCCTTTGTGCAGTTGACTGGAGATTTCAAAGGAATACATCTAAACACAGAGTATGGTGGTTTATAGAAACAGCAATGCAGTTCTAGCACATTATTACATTTATAGCTGCATTACTCAAACCCAATTAATTTTCACTGGAATAATACCCAAGGTGCAGCATTTCCAATTTAAAATCCTTTTAGATAAAATTCAGTTATGTTAACCCAGATGTTTCTCAGAAAACTCAAGTGTTATTTTGCATCCCTTACAAATATTAACACATACTGTTAACACTTATCCCAACTTATTATATTGGATAAAATTGTTAATTAGAAAAGTATTCATTATATCCACTAAGTATATATTAATAATACCATTACTTGCCTGTATTACTAACCTTCTTGGCACTACTCAAACCCAGTAAGTAAAAAAAAATTAAATGAAAAGCATTCCCCTTTGTTATATATTTTTTAATAGCTGCCTTTACTTTGTCTCTAAACTACATCAATTTCTAAACTAAAGTGACCATCCTTCCTTAATTGTGAGACTGTAGCTTTTTGAGTATCTAGTAAGGCTTTTAAACGATTCCCAAGTATCATTCAATTTTTTGATTAAATCCTTCTTCTTAGATGACTTAGCTCGCAATTGTTTTTTAGCTTTGGACACTTGGTCCCATTCAAGTACATATTAGGGATGTAAAATCCTGTTAAAATGTTAACGAGTTAAACTACATGTTTAACTGGTTAACCATCCCAAGACACTGTGGGTGAGGGGCTGCTTCCATTAAGCAGGGCACCAGTTAATTGGTTACCCCAGTAAGCACGCCGCTATCGAAAGAGCTTACTAAGTAACTGGTTAACCCTTTAGATCCGTAGTACATGTATTACTGCTTTGGAATGTATTGTTCTTGCTTATTAACTCATGTTCACTTGTACAGGTTGTACCTCTAAAATCTGAGACTTTCTGGTCTGGCAACATCCGTGGTACAGCACAACCATGGATGCTCCTGGAGCAGAGAGCCTGGGAGCCTAAGGGCAGGAGGGCCAGCCAGGAGGAACATCAGAGTCGGCAGCCCACATGGGGCAGTGCGGGACAGAGCCCTCCTGCTCGAGACCAGGGCTGGGGCTGCCTGGGGATGGAGCCCTGTGGCTTCCCCTGGCTTTGTGGGACTGGGGCCCCATGGCTTATCCCAGTTGTGCAGGGCCGGGGCTGGAGCCCTACAGCTTCCCCCAGCCCCATGGCTGCTCCTAGCTTCATAGGAACAGAGCCCCGCGACAGCAGCCGGAGCCTGTGCTGCCCAGGGAGCCAGCAGTCGAGTGGAGGCGGGGCATACAGGACTGCCTGCTGGGTTAGCCTGCCAACAGCAGATGATGGATTTGGGGTCCGGGGCAGGAGACTTCCCCTGGTCTGGCAAATTCTCTTGTTCGGGTCCCGATGATGCCGGACCAGAGAGGTCCAACCTGTACCTAAACCTACTGTTCAGAGAAAACACATATTTTGCCTTGATAAAAGCCTGCTGTATTTTGAAATTATTGTGATAACGTTTTATAGAGTAAACCTAGGAAAAACGGAACTGTTAAGAAATTGCAAACTATACATTCTTTTATTCACGGGCATGATTAAAGTAATTAAAAAGATAGAAAAGATTTGTTTGAACTAACGCTAAGCCTGTGCTGTCAGGGAAGGAATATTAATATGGAAATGAGACACTAATACAAATGTATAAGAAAAGATAATAAAGTTATAAATGTTTCATAACAAAGGGAAGCTGTATTGTTCAGTGCTGGAGGTGACTGTGAGGAGATCATCCTTATGAGTTTTCCACTTGTAAATAAAAGATTGCCACTTGCTGAATGGTTTGTCATAATAAAAATTCGTTAAATCTACCTGCTGAGTAAGGAATCTCCATCCAACATACTGATGAACAGTTTGCAGATTGGGTTTAGAGCCGGTATCTGAGGGTCCACAACCTAAGGTTGCCGAGGTATGTAAGGGACAATGAAATTGCTGGGGAGGGGAGATATATGGATGAATCTCTCTCCAGACACAGCAGTCTCCTAAAGAAGGTGGACATTTTCACAAGCCAGAATCTGCATGAAGTGGTGGCTAACCTGCCTAAAAGCAACTTCTCTTGCAACAAAATTGTTGCCAAAAAAAGGATAAAAGCTGCAATTGTGCAGGGTTGGACAGTGACAGGCAGATTTTGTGAAGCAAAATGCAGCACTGAAAGCACAATGCAGAAAATTATAAATCTCAAATTAAAGATATGCAGGTGGGTGGTACACAAGAAGGGAGACAAGGCCACTGAGCTATGGACACAGTGTGAAACAAGTTGAGTTTTTAAATTAGAAAGCTCAGGAATGTGAATCTCTTACAGAGCACAATGTGGTTC